CTCATTTTTTGGCCACGGTAGTTTTTATACGTTTATATTCGAGAGAATAAATGTAAAAGACATGCCTGTGTAGCCAATCAGTATAGCAGTAGTCAAAAGTGATTGTTTCACTGTAACTCACTTTAGTTTGCCCTCCCCTCAAGGAGACAAGTTCTTAAAGTCTTTTCCTTTGCTTTGAGTTCTCAGTTATATTTTCAGCAACTTCATCATTTGACGATATCTGCAAATCTCCTTTGATAATCTTCCATGCAAACATTCCCTCATTCAATAAATTTGTTATTTTCTGTTTTCAGCATTGGTTAAACCCTTTCCATTACCCAAACTTAGACATATATTATAGGAAAAATAGTTTTATTACATTTCAGAGGCCTTAAACTAATATTAATTCAATCTGTATAATAATTTCCGACTGCAGTTTTTCTGGTAAATTCATTAACTTTAATAAAACACGTTGAAACTAAACTAAAATGTAACTTAAGATTTGTTTTGACGTCTAAACTAATTGTTTTGAATCTGTCAAAAATTGTTCAAAGCAAATTTGAGTTATTGAGGTTTATGTGATTTACATCATAACTTCAGACGCATTATATATATATAAATATATATATATATATATATATATATATATATATATATCAAATGGAACTAGAACAGTTTGGCCTTTGAAATTCCAACCACCTGAAGAAGGTCAGAGCGTACAACGGTCGAAACGTTGTGATAAATATGGGTACAAAGATGAGGACAATAACTATAATAATGTTCAATAATATATATATATATATATATATATATATATATATATATATATATATATAAATAGCAGGTCACAATATTCGAGGGTACCCGTCTACTAGGGTAATAATCCTATTGTAATTAAATTTTTATTGTTTGCAGACACCCACAGAGCCCACCTGTGGCTTATATGCAAGTATGCTGAGCAGACCTTAGTTACAGTTTCTGGGAGAAAGCGTGTTATCTAGCGTGATCAAAAATTTGAACAAGGCCAGCACGCTCAAGACACGATGACTTTTGGCTGACGTGTTAAAAATTTCTATCGACGGCAGCCAAAGGATCCGTCTACCCAATTTCAAACAAATAAGGCTTGGGTCAAATCGTGGTATGGTTTTCAGGCACTTTTCAATCACCTTCCTGACAAATCAAGTGGTGAGATTCGAATCTCATTCTAACGATCGAAAAGAAACGCTCTAACCACTCAAGATGAAACTTTTTTTTTTTATATATATATATATAATATATAGTTGTATATTATATATATATATATATATATATATATTATTATTTATATGTATATGTTTCATTAAAACGACAGACAAGGTATATATATAAAATAATAAATTTTTATTTAATTTTTTTATGTGTTTCTTAAAACGCACAAAATATTAGTTTAAAAAAAGCTGAGAAATCGAATCATCCTTGATAATGGCTAAAGATATAGCCGAAAGCACTCGGAAATATAAAACATTTGGACAGTTCTTACACACGTTTGCCCAGAAAAGAAAGCTGTTTTTAGAACACAAGAAAAATTAAATAAAAAGCTTAACCGTAGTACCGTGTGTGTGTCTTAATGTGTGTGTGTGTGTGTGTGTGTGTGTGTGAAAATATATAGAAAATAGGTGAAAATACCTTTCCCTGCCTTGACATCTATGAAAGTAACTCTATACTGATACTTATTATTAACACCCAACACACGCCTACCCAATTTAAACAATTCAAATTCTAGCTGTTACCATGGAAATTTTGATTTCAATTATTAAAACACGTAAATTTCAGAAATACGTTATTCAAAAAAAAAAATTTCGCTTGAAGATGGAACAGAGCTTACTTTAACTCAATTTAATTCAAATAATTATATTGAAAAATTCGGCTCTTGTTTTGAAACATGAGACCTAATATGTTAAATTGGCATCATATTTTTTAAATAAATTTTATAATATATATATATATATATATATATATATATATAATATATATATATATATATATAAATAAAACATATATAATATATATAATTATTTGAATTATTTTTAAAAATAAATTCCATCTTCAAGAAATCTTTTTGAATAACTTGAAAATTTACGCGTTTATTCATATTCATTATTGAAATTAAGATTATATGGTAACGGCTAGTTCGTTTAAAGAAAATTTAAGGCTTTAATTTGTATCAATATGATCAGTTACATTCACAGACGTCAAGTCATCCAAGGTTTTTTTAAATTTAAAGCTCAAGATGACATCGTCTAATCTGGTTATTTAAATATGGATATTTATTTATTTTTATTTTATTTTTTTTTTTTTTCTAAATATGACATTTAAAAAAACTGTCGTAAGTCGCTAACATTTGTTTTTTTTTGGAGAGCGAGTGTTTTGACATTCAAAAGTTTACTGCATCAAAAATAAAGATTTGTTTTTAAAATCTAGTGCTTGGAATGCACGGAAATGTCAGTAGATAGACGAGGAATTGGGACGCCGAAATGAATGGAATTCTTTCAATTGGGGAAGTGTAAACATTGGAGGAGGAAGAAAGAGAGTTTCATTTTTCGAGTTTATTTTCTTTCTCTCTATTACTCAAATGTAGACAATCGGCTCATTACACCGGTAAACCTTTCTAAGAAGCATAAGATTAATCTATGCTCGGGTAGCTGTAACGGGTATCAACGCGAAAAATGAAATCGACGAGCCAAGATTAAATTCTGGTAGGCTTTGTTTAGTTCACTTTGTGCTAATTCCTTCTGGAAAGACATGAATATCTCTCTCTCTCTCTCTAGTTATGAATTCAAAAGCAGGATGGAAAGTGCTCGGACGAACTATATTCTTTGGTTCCGCCAGGTCTAGTGATTTTCCAAGCGTAGCTTAGATGTGGCACAAGGCGGAAAGTATGGGGCACCCAGTGAGGATCGAACTCACTTCTCAGTCGTAATTGTTCTAGCCAGACAAGCTTGCTAACTATTACACCGCCTCAAGGTGCCCAAAGGTTCCGCCAGGTCTAGCCTTCACGGCTAGGACCCGCCATGCCACTTACATTGTATCAAACCACTCACATTTCCCCCATATTCCATCGGCGAGAAGTAAGATCCACCCAAACAGCGTCTTCCCGCAAATCACTGCCCTGTAGAACACACTCCTAAGGGGATGTTTCCCCGATCACTACTATCTTAACCTGTTCTAGTCTAGAGTTAACCATTATCCCCCCCCCCATGATCCATAAACGTAACCCTCCACTACGAGTGGCCCCCGGGCCTTGTACAGAGTGAACCTTACTGTAAAAAAAAATAAAAAAAATAGAAAGAATGAACATTATTTACATCATTCGGACTATTGTCCTCATCTTTGTCGCCATATTTATCACAACGTTTCGGCCGTTATACGCTCCGGCCGTCTTCAGGTGATTGTAATGTCGAACCGAACCCTTTATTTTCGCTCACTGGGGTAGACTGTTCTAGTTCCACGTGCCACAATTGATGGATGTTATTTATCAGTTATCTCCTCTTAATTTCCCTCTGAAAGTTCTCCACTGCCTCAACCGGGTGTTGAACTCACACTCTTTGGGTCCTGTCACTGGATCTAACCAACGCCTTTATCCACTGTGCCATGTGTCCTTGAGACCCCAAAAGAATGAAGTGTCTTGGGTGAGAATCAGTCTAGGAAAAGGAAAACACTGAATTGAAACATGAGAAGGTTTTTGCTTGAGGATGAAAATTCGCTTGAGGATGAAATGGAACTAATGTCTTTAATTTAATTACAAAATTAAATTCGTAGCTTTTAGCTTCCATTTTTGAAACATGGTTAGAACTGTGTAGCGAAAAAGACCATATTTTAAATAAATCAATTTATAATACATATCTATCTATCTATCTATCTATCTATCTATCTATATATATATATATATATATATATATATATATATATATAAAAAAAAAGAGGTTTTAGTGGTTCCAACGAGAGAAAAGTATGTATATTAAAAAGAAGAGAAGAGAGGTGCCGCAAACGTTTTTGATTGTAATGTAACACATAGGGGTCAGTAAAACATTAAAAGATAAAATGCCGATAAGCAATTCATCGCTTGGGCCAACCTTAATTGTTTTATGACCCTTCGCGCAGAACTCTTCATTGCCAATTCAAGAAAGAAATTCGGATTACTAACACAGAAAATGTCTCATATCGAGAATATTTAACATTGAAAAACAAAAGAAAAAATTAATTATTTTTAATAATATGTGGAAATCTCCACTTTACCTGAAGACGGTCACGAGACCAGAAACACGTGTAGTAAAATTATGTAAAAACAAAGCATAATATTTTTTTCTAAATAAATCCACATTACAAAAAAACCATATATATATATATATATATATATATATATATATATATATATATATATATATATATATATTCATGAATTATTCATACAAAAACAAATGCAAAGGTTAATGATTTAATTGGCGAGAAATCCATCGTCGCAAACAATTCAAATAATATACAAAAACCTCCGAACCTGTTATGAATGAAAAGATCCTTGTTTCTATAAATTTCTGCTGCATTAGTTCTTATTTTTACTACAAGCTTTCGTCTGTTCCTACAGACATCTTCAGGTATGGAATAGATGTTGTTCTTGTTTTTGCTCTCAGTAATAAGAGGACAACGAAAAAATTAAGTAAATCATTTATAATACATTGATTTAATAAAACAGCGTACAATACCTTCTTAATCAGTACATTCTTAAGTGAAATATATTAAGTAAATCATTTATAATACATTCTTGTACGTATATAACTACTATTGATTACTTATATTAAATTGATTTACAATATATTCTTATAATAAAATAATTTTCATTACATTCCTAACAATGATCCCGCGCAATTCTTAATTAAACCCATAGGCATTTAAATGATCTTTGCTTTTGCTTTTAAATGACTTTTAAATAAAAGGTTACCATAAAAGCAAAATTAAAACGTCATCTCAGCTTTGCTGCCACATTGCGTTCAAATGCCGGTTCCCGTACGATCACCGAAGTTAAGCAACGTCGATCCTTTTCAGTATTTAGATGGGTGACCGCTTGGGAATACCAGCTGCTGTAAGCTTGTATGTGCGGGTTATGTAATGGATAATTGCTCGGAATTGTTAATCGGAGAGCGGAGTTCCAATTCCAGTTGGTTTCGTTATATTGACTTACGCGCAAATAGTTTTGGGAGAAGTATGAGTTCACATCTTCTCCCCCAGTTATGGGTTAATTAGTAAAACTTGTATCTCTAAAACCATTACTATCTAAAAAGAAAATGCGTAGAAAATATTTAGATTTCGGCATTAAATGACCCATAGAGGTGTTGGTATGCCGCTGAAGAAAAACAACCAACCAGCAATGTTAAAATCTAAAATATCTGATAATTTCTCTTTGAAACGGCAAGGAATTATCCTAAGTAGACTTCCAGCAGCAGTAACAACTAAAATGTGTAGCGCATGTAACTAGTTGTGAAAATAATGATTTTTTTCATACTTATGAGTCACTCTTATTCTTTCTTCAGGTCTGACCAAGCTGTTGACTAACTCTTCCAGCATTCGCAGGCAGAAATCCGTTTTACGAGCTAAACGCCTCTGATTGGCTATATCACTCAGCTGACCAGATCAGTCGGCTAAATTTTTATTAGGGTTAATTTTATCCCAATACATGCTTGTTGGATTTTAATCATATTCGATTTACTTAGCTGTAAGTGAATCATTGGATTTAAAAACAAGTTTTTACTATAATGTTCACATTGTACAAGGCACAAGTGCCACTCGAAGTGGAGGATTACAGAGGCGCAGATTATAGGGATATGTGACGAAGATAACTGTTGACCTTAAACTTGAACATGTAATGATCGCGGAAACATCTTCTGTGGAGTCGACCCCACCAAGCAATGGTTCGTCGGAAGAAGCCGCTCGAGTAGAACTTACATCTCACCAATGGAATTCGAAAGGAGTGGAGGTTGTTCTCTACAATGTGTATGGCATGACGGGTCTTAACTGTGAAGGTTACAACTTGGTGGAACTTAAGATGGTAGTTTGTCTGAACACTTTCCATGGAAATAGCGATAGAGTAGCGAGCGGTTTGCGAGATTTCGTCAGTGGGAAAAAAATAATTCATCACCCACAAGGACGCGGACACGCTTTTATCGAAGCTGAAGAAGTGAACACTGACAGAATTACTTCATTTTCAGCTCTTGTAAAGGTAGATGATATCAGGAGGGGCCAGGTACTTAATAGAGCGGTACAGTGAACCGACCATTTTTTTGGTGTCTTTAGCGTTGGATCGTATGTACGAGTTCCACATGATGTCTGGGGCATGATTGTCTCGACAGGAGCTGAAGGCACTAAGCCTCTCTGAGAGAACACCACGAGTTCGCTCGGTGGTCGTCTGCTTTCTCTCTAAATATTTGCTTGTCATGTTGAATTCTAATCATTAAATCGGACAAAAAATTTAAAGACTGTTCTTTATTGTAATATAATGTAAACAACAAATAATACATTCATCAAACTTTCACCGCTACATTGTTATAGCATTGTTGGATGGCTGTGCTGGCACATTTTGGGAAAAATAAGAAATTCCCGCTAACTGCAAATAAATGACTATAAAGACGCTGACGGCGATTTCTCATGGGCGCTGCCATTTTCGTTTAGCTTCAGTAGAGATTAAACTCAACGATGCCTCCAACACAATAAAATAAAAAAAATATGTAGCAAAACAAATCGTACTGTACGATCCTATATGTCTCGTAAATAGAAATAGAAGCGACTGACATTTCATGGTGTCTTGAAAACGTATTTTCTTGTGTATTATACAACCTGAGACACTGTGTTTCTGAATCTAAAAACGGAATAAATTACATCCATGAGTACAAAACCATAGTGAAGCCTATACTTATGTAAATACGGTTTGAAAAATTGTACTATATTAGGCATTAAAATCTCCATGTCGTATATATATTTCACTAAAATATTTAATTTTTCCGCGATATTGCAAAATAAAAATGAACCGGATGTTTAGCCATAGCGTCTTTTTTCTAATTTCCGTTTAAACAATGATTCGAATTTACAGAGAAAGGGTGCTTAGTTGTAATAATAATGATATCAAAACACAACAAATTTTATCTATCCCCTTTAATAATTTTTTACAATCAATTTCGGTATATTTCTTGTCTTTGAGACAAAAGACGTCCAATCTCGCTGATTCCCGACGAACAAATATTGTCGATATATCAAATACCTTTTGTAAACAATTGTTATGAACACCTGCCTACTTTGTGTTTAATTATCTATACTACTGAGTGTAATTGCAATCTGGCTGTTTTAAATAAGAATTTTTCTTTCGTTTGAGTAAAAATTTCTTTTATATAACACGACTCTACTTTTTGCCTTTAATTTTCGTTTAAAATTTCTCGTATTATACAAAAGAAAATACGGTACGTCGAGATCAGGCAATGTAAGTTTCGTAAAAAAAACAAAACAACGTATAAGTATGTCTATAACAGTAGACTTGTTAATTTGTTCTTCTGTTTTTATGTGCCGTGTCCCTTCAGGACATAGGCGATCATGACCCTCTACATCTTCCTGTCCCTTGTAGCTCTTAATAAGTTTTGTCTTTTTGCTATTTCCCCTTAACCCTGTTTTACCATCCATTTGCTCAAACCATCAAGTAAGCTACGCACTGCTTTCCTCTGTCTCTCAATCTATCCTTTGAGTATCAGATTTTCTAAGCCCTCCTTCCTCATTACGTGCCCCAGAAACTTCACTTTCTCGTGTTAAGTATAAGTTTGCTTTTTGTTTCCATTTTCTCTAAAACCTCGTTGTTGCTCACGTGTTTGGTCCATGGTATCCTCAGTATCTTTCTGTAGAACCATCTTTCTTCTTCATCTTTGAGGAGATTGTCTAGCATTAAATGTCATACGGAAGGTCAGATATCAAGTAACAGCTGAGTGCTCTTTTTGTCTAATACTTCACTAACAGAATTCTTTATTCAACGAAGACATGTTGAATGCGGGCGAATCTGTAGATAGATGTTGTTATATATGTATTAGATAACTTTTATTAATGTCTCTGCATCAAATGTGTCATAAGCCCCGGTGTGGTGGTCTTGGGGGACGGTGATCGCTCGATTATAAAGTTGCATTCTTCTCTCGAGGCCGGTGATCACAAATTGTTTTATCTAGAGATAAAAGAACTTCAACAGAGGGAATTTTAACTTAAATAGTTTATTAACCCCGACGTATGAATTTTCTAACTAGCCAGTGGGGTCGTTCTCTCTCCCTCCGCTGGGGAGCAGTTCCAGACACGAAAGGAAACACATCTACATTGTTAAACGGTTGAGGCTCAACTCACTGAAAATCCTTTCTCTATCTCGATCATTCTCAAGCTGGCTCAGCCAATCAAAATCGACTTCCTTGTTTTGTCTTCTATCTGACCTCGAGGGTCAACCTCAGAAAGTCCGATCAGAGATAGCATTACCCCTAAAAATAATAGTCTGCTAAACTATTATTTAAAATAACTATTGTGGGCTTACTGATATAAGTAGTCATATGGGAGGACATGCTGAAAAGCTTTCGGATTGACCCACTTCCCAAAATCAGATGAAATGATCAAATATCCCTTTTTTCTTTATTTTAATTGAATTTATCCCAAACAAGGTAGTAAAGATACTAAGACAGAAGAGGTGGCTGGATGTGAAAGAATTAGAAATCAAAAACATTGTTAAAGAGCGAGAACAGTAGAAGAGTAATCAGAAAGATGGTAGATAACGATTAACATTGTATTTAAATTTCTGAAGGTTAAAGTTAACTGGAAAACATGGAGCCAGAATAGGATTCCACAAGCGATATGGTTTCATCTGGTCAATTCAACTGTTAATTGACGAGATGCTAATCTAGTTAGTTATTTATGTGTCATGCGTGACGAGGCAGATTTTTTTCCCGCAGTAGGCTGCCATTTCTTTCTGCAGTAGACCAGCTGCCATCCAATGCTATAGAACTCGATCTGTCCTGCTATTTACCCATAACTGGTAGGAGAAGAAGAGGATTCATACCTTTCCCAAGTGTATTTCCACGTAATGGATCCGACTGGAATTCGAACTCAGCTCTTTCGATTTTGCAATCCGAACCGCTATCCATAACTCCATCGTGCCTTTTAGTGCTTACCAATGATTTTGTAAATATAAAATTATTCTTGTTAATAAAATAGTGTTAAATATTTTTATTGTCAGTACTCGAGAAAAAAAAATGCATAAATCCTGTTTCATATGTTTAAGTTTTATTAACATTCTAAAAATAGCTTTTACCATTCGTCCATCTTCAGAATATTGCTGCCACATATGCCCTGGTGTCCTTGCTATTTATCTAAAGTTCTTTGATAAGACACAAAGAAGAATTTCCAAAAAAGTATTAGCACGTCAGTCAGTCAATTATGTGCCATGCGTAATACACGCTTAGACGATCATGTATCTTTCGATACATGACTGACGAGGCAGATTTTTCCTGCAGTAGGTTGCCATTTCTTTCTGCAATAGATCAGTTGCCATCCAAGACTATAGAACCCGGTCTGTCCTGCTATTTACCCATAGGAGAGAAGAAGAGGATTCATACTTTCCCAATGGTATTAGCACGTAAGTGAATGCAATGGATTCAACTGGAATTCGAACTCAGAGTTCCGATACCTCAATCTGCATAGATATCCATTACTCCACGCCAATGTAGCACTGCGCTTAAATTCATAAAGTCTAGGTACCATAGCGAACAGATCATCCGAACAATTGCCATGAAAGTATTTATAGAAAGACACCAGTGAGGCACTTTATGGGGATGGGAAAATGAAACCGAAACGCATTGGATTTCATCAAGAATCTCTAAATATGTAGCAGGAGCACCGGACCAGATGTGGCAGCGATATTCAAAGCATGGACAAACGGTTGACATATAGATATGTAAGATAGATTTGGGGGAGAATCAACATGTGAAGAAGAGCACAATGCCAAACACTGTCAAGTGCCTTCGAGATATCAATGAGGTTCATATTTACTTAGATTTGCTTTAAAAATGTCCATCAAATAATAC